GGAAATGATCCCCAGTTTGACTGGAACGATGTCAGGATGAAAGATTGTCTGTGCCAAATTACACTTTTTTGTGTATTTTTCTTATCCTTGCACTTTTTGTCTGTCTGATCTTGAGGATTAAAGAGATGGAGAGATGCATATGATCGTACCAGAGTACATAATGTTGTTTCAGCTCTTCATGTTTTCAGGTGTTTTCTGAGGTTAATGTCCTGTGCAGGAAACCCCACACTCTTCCCCGCCCCCCAGTCCTCTAGCTCCATTATTGGCTTTTCTTCCTTGCCTGTTTACTTTTCGTATCCTTCCAAGGAACAGTAGGTATATTTGCAATTCATATTTCAACAGGCTGTAAAGATGCAGCAGAGATAGGCACCTGTGGAACAGGGCTTGTGGGGTCAGTGCATGGTGCAGCTGTCTCACAGCCAGCGTGACAGTGAGCAACTTTGTAGGCATCTAGGATAGTGCATTGTAACTGGTTGCTGAGATCCCATATGCTGGGGGTATTGTATGGAGATGGGCAGACTTCATTTGCTTGGAATACATGTTTAGGCATGTAGAATTGCTTACATCTGTTAACAACAGTTAAATGAACAGCAGTTAAAATGAATAGCAAATTTTAAAAAATTAATAAAGCTTAAATATTCCCAAATTAAATTTGTTTAAGTATTTTTAGTGTTTTAGGAACTGCAACCTTTTTGTGGAGAGCATAGATTTCTATGAATGCCTTTTAAACATCTGTTTTATGTTGTCTTCCTATTTTCTTTTTTCTTGAAAAACATTAATACTCCTCCTTAAGTAGATACCCCCAAAAATCTGATTAAATCTTTGAAAGGCATGAATCACAGGTTGACTTTTTGTTTTTATTTATTACATAAAAACTTCAGTATCAGGCTAGTTTCTCAGCTGCTAAAACTGACTTCATGTAGATGGCAGAATGCAAGCAGTTTTTTGAATGCTTCCACTGAGCAAAGTATATTTCCATTGATCTGCTTGAACATATGCAGGATCTGAAACAAAAACACTTTTTGGATTGGCATTGTCAGACGGCTAACACCTTCCTCTCCCTATTGGCTATCTGCACTTACATATCACTTTGAAATTAATTGTCCTGTGATTTGTACCTCAACCCATTGGCACTTGCCCTTTTGTTGTGATATTTAGTGTTATTTAGTCCCATTTACCATTAAAATAGAACTATCTCCTACCTTTTGTCCTGATTCTGGTGTTTTGAAATCATTTCCACTTGTTTTGTAGCTCACCCTTAACGAACTTATATCTGCTCCTAATTTTATTGAGGTTGGGATATTGTTTAAAAAATTGCAATTTTAAAATAATTGTTTAGCGATCCCAAGCGATATCATGGAGAGCACTTTAGAATAATTACTGGTGTTATTTCAGCACTTTAGAATTGTTGTGGCATTCTTTAATTGGAATTTTTAAAACAAATTTGGAAGGTGACTTTTTCTCTCCCTCCTTAACTGTCAGTTTCTTCACAAGGGTAGTTTCAATCTACAGTAGGACGAGACAGGTAGACTAGGAGTAGAAGCCTGGGGAAGTTTGATTAATAGATGAAGGTACATACCATGAAAACGCGGGTTCTCTAGAGTTGAACCTGAAGCTTTTTTATGTTAGTCTCATTCCATATTCAGTGGACTGTACAACTCAACAGTAAAGGGAATTATTATTTCTTCCCTTGATTTATGTTTGTAAGTTGGGAGTGTATTCTGGTCTAATAGGATCCAGAGGTTTGAGTTTAAGGAAGATGATGTTCTTGATGCAGAAATAAGAAGAAACCTTTAAATCTTATTATTTTTCAGTACTGATTCCTGGCTACCTAAATCACTGTAGTGGCTTTTCTTGTACAAAATAAGTGTGATGCTTCTTAAATCTGTAAATGTTCTATCACTTGAGCGTGTGATTTTCTTGTAATGCTGTATTCATGCTACAATTAAGATGGCATTGGATTTTCAACTAGAAGGTTTTGGGGGTACATTTGCTTTCAAAAGGCAATGCAGAATACCTTTCAGGCTCGAGTCTGGTACATATGGGTTTAGTTTCTGCTGGTGTTGGTCCTATTTCAAGTTATGTGCAGTCTCCTTCATCAATATCGCTGTGCTAGCGTAACACTCATGCAATAGATTGCGAACCACTATTTTTTAATATGTGCTGTGAATTAAAACTATTTAAACATAAAAAAAAAGCTACTAGCATAGTACATGTTATGAGTTGTCTTGTGTCATCAATTTATTGTAGTTTTTTCTATGGTATAGATCAAGAATGAACTTCTTTCAAATAAAATCTGATTTCACCAGACGGGTACTGAATGGTATAAACATATTGGGAGGAACTTTTGCAAACATTGAACATGTTTTTTTTTTCTGTACATTAGTAATTTCTTTGCATTCCTTATATAATAAATATATGCAAAGGAAAGTCAGAAAATACTTGTTACTATGAAAGCATATGTGTTATTACATTTGAGATTCTCCAAGGACTGTTCATGCTGCAAGGTCAAATTTAAGGGGTATTGCATTGTCAAGGTCAGCACCAAAACCGTTGTTACCTGTCAGATAGCTCTTGTTCCTTGCAAATTTATTTTCTTTTTTTTTTTTTTTACGTGTATTCATAATGATTATGTAGTCTTAGCTGTGACTTTGCAGTAGTTTCTTTAGCTTACAGTGGGTAAAATATGGATGAGGAAATGAATTTTAGTATCTACATTATATAAAGATATAAGAATGAACATCTACAGATGGGTTCTTGAAGTACTTTCTAAGTTTAATTTATGCAGCTTCATGGTTGATCCAGCCAGATGAAAATTGAAGCTGTTGCCAGCAGAGATGGTGATGCATTCCCTCCCTCTTCCCCTAGCGCCAGCACTTGCGTTTATGTAGCCACAGCAAAGCTGGATCAGCCTTACCTGGCTGAAAACTAATACAGGCATAAAAATAAATACATACAAAGAGAATAATTTTCTACTAGATTAGCTCCAGACTTACAGTGAGAAATACCAGTTTCCAGACTCTTTGAGGTAAGTATCTCAAACTCTATAAAAGAAAGGATAGTGAATTTCTGAAGATCAAACTTGATTTGAACATGGAAACAGTGGGATGCAGCCACACTGCAATCTTGTAATTTATATCAAATGTATCTTGTAACTGGAATCACCGCCCTACACTATGAAGCAAGATTTTCCAGTGTGACCTTGCTATGGGTGGCTAGCAAGAGTGGATTTAGAAACCTGATGAGTAGGAGCATTTTGTCCTTTAACTGACTCATTTATGTAAAATGGGGTTTATCACTATATTTCACTGTCCTGTATGTTTGCAGTTGATGCAGTGGTTAACATAGTTAAAACCAAAGAGGCTTTGTGTTTCCAAAGTACATTCTTCCCTTCATGCATTACTTGTTATGAAGGAATTTACATTATATTTAAGCTTTGAAGTGTTTAGACGATGTTGTGGGTTGCTTACTTGGCTGATGTACATTTGTTCCAAAGTTTGACTGTTGATTTCATAATGGTTGTAGTAGTTTCAATTTAGTGATAGAAGATAGGTGTGTCTTCCTCTTTTTCTATCTTCCATCTCACAGTATATAGATAAGACCATTTTAGTCTAGCTGCTCTTCTGTCTTACTTTAGTGGCTTTCAAAATATTAATAGATATTATAAACCAAACTATTATTTGGCATATTTTACTGTTGTCTGTGTGCGTACACATACTGCAGCGAGAGGTATGCTAAATGATGGCTGACTTGTATGGCTAGGTAGACCAAATGTTATGTATGACCCAGGTCCTACACCTCTCGATTTTCTTCCTTTGGCAGACCTTCCACTATTTCGTCTGTGCTTGCCAACAACAGTCAAACTACTCAAACCATGCTCCATTATCAACTGTTTTCCCTTCTACATCTGACAGTTCTGCCTCTTGGCTGTTTCCAAGACTTTCTGTATTTCCTGTGTTTCAAGATTTACATTTGGATTGAAATCTGATCTCTGACACTGTTTTGTGAAGAGAGCAGGAAGGAAGCTTGCATTGCCCTTATGGGAGGAGGTGTCCTCACCTCTAAGCATGAGCAGAGAATGCTCATGAGTGTTTTTTCTTATGCTTTCTCCCATTGTGCAAGTGTATAAATAATTAGATTAAATGAATAAGGCTAATTAGACTAAAGACTGAAAGCTCTAAAACTTGTAAGAATGGGTTGTCTGAGTTTAAAAACGAGTAAATAGAAATGGAATATGCCTATTAAACAGTACATTCAATATTGTTCTTCTGTGGGAACAGTACTGCATCCTATACTACCTGTTGTTCTGAAGTAGTTAATACCCCTTGGGAGTCCCATTAGAGTGGTGATGAAGCCAGATGAGCTAAACTAATTGTGCTGTTTGTACATGCACCATGTTACTCATTTAGATCATGAATCTTAGACTTGTGTCTTTGGGGAAATCCTTGTTTTGTTCTGTATGCTATCTCTAATATTTTTTTTCACAGAATACTTGAAAAGCTGAGTGGTAAATAAAGGAGGATTTAATTTAGTTAATTTTTGGATCTGTGCTGTGTCTAAACTTTCCTTATGCCTTTTGCAGTTGAAGTCCTTTTTTCTTTAATTTCAGAACTGAAAGTGACAAGATTGTAATATATCCTTATTTAGTGGGGTTTAATTTGCAGCTTCAGAAGGGCTTTGATAGAAAAAGTCTTGAAAGTGTGTGGTATAGATGGCAAATTCTGGTCTCACTGCAGATGGATGATAACAAAACTATTGCAAAGGCCCTTAGTATTTTTTTTTTTTTTTTTGAGGAAAATGTTAATGAATCAAACAAATGTTTGGAAACTTGTATTCAGAAATTTAAAATTTCTACTTATGTTCTATCATTATAAACCAAATATCAGTGAATGATATGTCGAGTAGTGTTCTAGATAAATTTCACAAACTATGATTGAGTATAATACATGAATTTTCAAGGATAGTTGATTTGAAATTAGACTTCGTTTTTGTTTTAAAAGGTGCAGAAGATGAAACAAGCTCAGTAATGCAATATCCTACACAGTATATTAATCAAGATCCTTATTTGCATCAAGACGATGACCAGCAACAAGGATGGGTTTCTTGGGCTTGGTCTTTTGTTCCTGCTATTGTGAGTTATGATGATGAAGAGAATGATTCTAGTGGAATTGATGATGGAACGATGCTACATCAGAAGAAATCTCAGTCTCTCAAGGATCCTATTATTTCAATTGGGTTTTACTGTACAAAAGCAACAGTGACTTTTAAGGTAAGTATTTCTCTGTGTTGTATAGATTGATTTGGTTTATTGAGAAAGTGCGTAAAGATTACCCGAGTGCTTGTATACTGTTTGATTTGAGACAGGGAATAGTACATTAATAAATTACAAAAGATGCGAATGTTGAAAGTTCCTCTCACATAATGAATCGTCAGTTGCAATGTGAGGTGGTTTTGCCATTTGAACTAGAACTTGAGTATGAACATTTTAATCTTAAAGGGAAAACACTTAATTTACTTAGATTAATATTTTTTGATGGGAAGAATAAGCTTAAAAGGCTTTCTGTGAATGTTTATTGCAGGATTTTATCCATCTAATGTTTATATAAATGTATTTCTTTATGAAGCTAAAGCTTTTTAATATAGCTTGTGAATAGAGGAATGCATTTTTTTTTTAAAACTATAATATGTGCAAATATGAATTTAAATTGATAAAGTTGAAATTATTTTCCATGGGTTGGAATTGAATTAAAGAAACAAAAGGATAAATTACATATATACTCTGAGCTGTAAACTATGTATATAGAGAAAGATTTGAGTATCTTCTGTAAACAAATCTCAAAATAGTTGCTGGGCTTCTCTCTGTTCCTTTTGTTATCTTGTAGGAGGGAATATGGAGAGTCTGAATAAGATACTGAGAGGTACTGACAGAAATAAAAAAATGAAGTTTCTGAATTAGCAAAATACTTTTAACATGTGCCAAACTTTATGCAAGCAATTCTATGGACATAACTATAATAGAAAGTGGCTCTTGGATTTACAGTTAAACTTACATTAAATCAAGGCCAGAATTCTTCAGAATAATACTATTTCTGTAAGCAGCAGAATAACTAAGGTTGATTTTTATGAGTTTGAGTCTTTCAGATGAACTGCAGTACTTTCATAACCCTCAACCCCAGGACACCCTCATATAATGTTTATGTGCCTGATTATACACTCAATACCATCGGCAGGTCCCCTCTCCCTTTTCTGTCTGTTTGGCTTGTCGTCTCTGCATAAGAGAGTGTTTTGAGGGGCTTCATGGATACTTTCTTTTAGCTTTTTTTGTTTGGTAGAGTAGCAGAGCATTTAGCTGCTCAGTAACTGTCAAAAAGGATGAGACAAGTGCAGGCTTTCTGTGAGGAGCTTAAAGTTTTTAAGCCTTGAGTTTCTGGGCAAATTTGAGGACATAAAGAATCAACAAATGTTCAGTCATGTTCTTTTGTGCTTTTATTTCAATCTGCTTCAGACTTCATTTAAAAAAAACCAAACCCCAAAATAAACCTGAAACAAAAACCAAAACAACAACAAAAACCAACACAAAACCCCCTCAACAACCAGGCTAACGGTAAATCATGGAAAATCTTTTCTTCCGCCTTTAATTATATCCTAGGGACACCACTTAAAAAACCCAACCAACCAACCAAAACTCAAATTTCTCAGTTATCATAGCTCAGCATCTTCTTTCTTTTGTACTTTGTCATACAGTAGTAATTTTATGTGCTCTTTCCTCATGTGAGAACTCATTAAAAATAGTATGAACTTATTTTTTGAACAAGATTTGCTGAATTGGACTTTCCTAGTGTTTCATTGGCAAGCTTGCACATTTTGTATTAGGAAGTGATAAAAACTACTTAAAATGTAACATTCTATAAATTTTAAATGTGAAATTATGTATGATATTGATATGGTGACAGCTAGGAGGAAAACAGAATTCATTGTTCTGCTTGCATGCAAAGAATGTATGGAATTAATTTGTGGTTCATATTTTGGTTAAAAAATAAGGTCAAGTTTCTGCATTAGCATTCTGAACAGTTGATATCATTCCAGCTAAAAATCATGCCAAATTAAATGTAGCGTTTTCTAATAATGGTGAAAATGATTCTTGTAATGAGTTCTTTTAATCAATTAATTGCTTTTCCTCTGCAATAATTGCACACAGCTGAAGGGTGATCAGTGATTTTTTTTAAATCCAATTTTCTTGAACATTTGGATTACAAAATTTTAATTTGAAACAACATCCATGTGTATCCACTCTTAAAAATAATGACAGCTTGTGGGTAATTTTATATAAAAATTAGAATTTGAACTATTTAAGCTGAACTATTTAAGCAACATAAACAAGTATTTTTTTAATGCAAAACATAACACCTTCATTATTTTGTGCTTCTTTTCTACTTTTTCTTAGCTGCATGTTATATGCTTTTTAGCCTAAGCATATGTGTTTTACCACTTGAAATTTTTTTCATAAATCATGCAAGAAATATAAATGCATGTTTTTCTTAATTGCCTTGAGAAGAAAGAAAAATGAGTATGGTTGTAATCAAAATGTTTCCTTAATATTATCATGCTGTTTAATTTATTTGCTGGGAAGAATAAATAATGTATTTATGGATTTTTACAGCAATTTATAAGCTAATTTGATACTACATTAATAGTGCAGCTGTGTATCTGTTTCATCTTTTCACATCGTTTCTCTTTAGATAAGCAAACTAAAAATACTATAGTGGATTGAAAACTTTCTGTTACGGCATACTTCAACCAGAAGTTGAATATGAGAAGTTCTAATATGGATAATGTGTTACAGCTGTTTAACTGCACCTGTTTCCTGCTTGTTAATAAATTTTGGCCAATAGTTTAATTTGTCTTCATCAGTTCTGTATATTAATGACATTACTGCTGTTTAATACTAATATTGACTTATATAAAGTGTTTATTCTATTGTTTCATAGCTCACTGAAATGCAAGCTGAAAGTAGTTATTACAGCCCTCAGAAAGTAAAATCCAAAGAAGTTATATGCTGGGAACAAGAAGGAACCACAGTTGAGGTAATTTTCCATTGACAGGGTTTTTTTTTTTTGAGTCATTATAAATGATGTAGTGAATAGTTACCAATAAAACATTTTGAAATGATTTCATTACTGATATTTTATATTCTGCTATATTGGATGTCTTTATTGTAATAATCACATAGGTAGAAATTATCTAAATTTCTGCTGCTATAGTGATCAGACACTAACATAATTCCTTCTTTCTAAGTGCCCTGTTTGATTAACTTGCTATTAATTAAAGTTCTAAATATATAAACCTAAACATATTAGTTCACTTTTCTTCACCTTTTGTATTTCTCATTGAGCAGAATTCTTCAAAATATCTTTTTCTTTTTCCTTTTTTTTTTTTTTTCCTTACTAGGTCCTTATGAAAGGTGAACTTTTCTTTGATTGCCAGATAGGTTTTGTTGGTTGCCAAGCTATGTGCCTTAAAGGAATTATGGGAATTAAAGACTTTGAAGAAAACATGAATAGGAGTGATGAAGTGAGTATATTGAAGTATCAGTTGACTTGCTGAATAAACAATTTTAGTATGCTTTATTAAAACATTTGATTGCAAGAATTGCAAAGTCTGCTGTTACCAGTTGTGATTTAAGTCTTTTGCATGTGTCACTGCAATATAGAACTCGATGTCTATTCCTTACAGTTGGAATGACAAATATCTAAGAGTGAGAAGGTGCAAGACATAAGGCTTTTTTTACAACCCCATGACCACCCATCACTTTATATGTCTGCATACTTTGATCTTGTAAAACAAATTAAAATGCAGTTGAAAACCTTTGAAATTACTTAAAGCAATACAAGATTGGAAGGGAAGAAATGAGAACACTGTATGCTAAAGATAATAGAAGTATGGCTCAAATATTGAATGGGTCTTTTGCCTCATTTTTCAATAACGTTGATGAGAGCAGTATCAAGTGAAGGAGTAAAACCGTATTAATTTCTGTATTTTAATTAGAAACAAACCTTGAATTTGTTAATAAGACTAAATCATGGATCCATAGGAACAACTTTTAAAGTATCTAATAAAGTGATGCATGAAATTCTAAATTCAATAATGAGGATTTTTGGTTGAACTATAGATAGAATAGTGCCCTAAAGTACTAGAGGACAGCAATTATTATCTATGTTTAAATAAAAGAAATAATGCAGCCAACAACAGACCTATTAGCTTTATTTTAGTGCTGTGTAAAGTCTTACATAGTATTTTAAGGAGAAAAATTTAAGAAGAAGAAGAAAGAATGCGGAAGAAAATATTAGGTGACTGTATATTTATGTCAGGTATCTCCTTATTTGGAAAATGATCATGTACTGTACTATGATAGATATGATGAGACAGGTTCTTTTACTTCCTCTGTGAGAGCAGCATGGCTTGGTGTCCATCTGAAGTGTTTGTATACAGATGCATGCAGCACAGAAAACAAACAAGAATTAGATATCCTCACACAGCTGTAGAGTATGACATGGTTGGGATTATAGAGGTGTGGTGGGACACGCTGCGTGACTAATGTGCTGCAATGGATGGACAAAAGCTTTTCCAGAAAAACATGCCGGGGAGGCAAGGATGAGCCAACTATAAAAGATGCTCTGTTGGCCTTGTTAGAAACAAGGGGGATGTGTTTGGGGATGTGAGGGCAGACGGCAGCCTCGTCTGCAGCAACTATGAGATATCGAGGTATAAAATCATGAGAGAAGTGATTTTTGGGTTGGAGGGAGTGGTGTGTGAATAAGTTTGCTGTGGGTTAGTTGATAAGGGCCACTTGGATTTTTGCTCTTTTTCATTTTTCTGCCACCCTCTAGGGTGTGAATTTAAGAAAATCAGTGCTTTTGGGAGAATGGTGGTGATGTTGACACTATCTCACCTGTTCTCTTTCTGTACTGCTATAGTTGGGACTTTGTGCTTTTCATACAGGTTCCAGCTTTGTTGTATGTGATTGAAAATAGTTGGTTGGAAAAAATCCATCTCATATAAATAACCTTTTTAGAAGAAAAACAACTTTTGATGGAAAACTTGTGTTCGTTTCAGGACAATAGAGGGTTTGGGATATGGAGAAGGCATGTAAAAATCTAGATCAGTAAAGAATAGTGATAAGGTAGCAAGCAGGGAATACATTGAAATAACTGCTTAACATGAAGAGGGTAGATAAAGTGTCTGAAAGGCATTGGTCAGTCAGAGAAATGGAATATGTAGTGACAAGATTGTGTATAGGTAAGAGGATGGGGCAGCACTTGGGGTAAAAATGATCTGAGGTTATTTTCTGTTAAAATGAAACTAGGATGTTCTGTATCATGGGTTGTATAATATTTACTAACTTGGGCTGGCTTTTTTAACTTGAAAATGGGGAGGGAGTGGACATGAACTTCCATGTTATTGGAATAAAATTATTTTAATTGTCTTCATTTTGTTCATAATGAAACATGTGACTAGAACTGAGGTGCCCTCTTTCACATACTCTTGAGAGATGCTACCATGTCATTAGTGTGTCATGACAGAATTGAAACTGCTCTGCTAACTTGACTGTATTTTTTTTTTTCCTCCCTTGCTTTATTATTATTTTCTACTACCTCATGAAGGAGGCCTCCTTCTTTAATTGCGGAGAAAATTTGAGTGCAAAAGGGATGACATACCTTACCAATTCACTATTTGACTACAGAAGTCCAGAAAATAATAGTATTCGTGCAGAATTTATATTGGATGCAGCTCATCATAAGGTCAGAGAATTACATTTTTCTTAGAAAAGATTTTTCTAATGTGCTCTAACGGATTTCTAAGTATTATTTAGATCTATGTAATGTTAGAGGACTGATTTTCATTACTTTGTCGTGTTTAACTGAATCTTACTTTGCAGATGGCTAAATAAAAAAAGTAAAACTTTTTGTGTTAAAAAAAAAAAAGTAACAAAAACATGTCCAAAAGAAACCCCAAACTCCCTTCCTTCCCCAAAAGCTGAATTAATGCCATAGTTTCCAAAAGCACTTGCTACAGAACACCTGCAGAGACAAACAGAGATATGAATGTTAGCAAAAGGTCAAGCTTTACCAGCACATACTTCTTTAATCCCAACCAGTAAGTAGTTCATGGTCTTCAAACTAAGAGGTGCTCTCTTGGAAATCAGATCTTGGCCAACGTTAATTTTATTGTCTGTGTGCTGTATTTGTCTGCTTAGAGGAAGTCTTGCTAATTCTGCCTTTGGTAGAGACAACTTTTCAGTCACTGATAGTCTCTGTTGTTGTAAATTGTGCAGTAAAACTTTATTACCTGACTGTCTGTGATTATTAAAGACTGGATGTGGTGACCAAGGTGGTCCCTTCCAGGTGTGGTCATAGGTGGAGTTCTGTGCTCTATGTTATTGTACAGGTAAGCCATTTACAATTTGGAATATATCTAATCTCTTTTAAATTTAAATTCTATTAGTTTCACTAATAGAATTCTACTGATGAAGTATAACCCTGAAAAATCCCATTAAAAATGAAATTAATTAGTGAAATCACAAGTAGTTGTACATATTCAGACATTTTGCATAATGTGTTTTATTTTTAAGCTTTACTCGTTCCTTGGCCTCTCTTCAATGCTTTTATGATTTGCTATTTTTTGGCAAGAGGGGAAGCAAACTTGCTGTGTAATAATGGATTGTATTATGTATAAATCCCAATGATGACATAAAGTCTTAACAAGTTTCCTACTGTTCAAAGATAAAACCACAGTATTGCTTAAATAAAAAAGCCAGAATGAATGAGCTTCAGTTTTCAGCGTGTTTAATTAGGCAGATCGGTTGGATGCAAGAGGTCAAGTGAAGAATATTTACTCCATTAAGGGTACTAATTAACAAGATGTTATTGATGAATTGGTCAACATGTCCACTGGAATTATGGATGTGTCTTTGTGTGGCCTCAAATAGAAGTTACATTACCTATCAGAAGGGTGAATTCTTTGGGATAACCTCTGTCCTTTGTTTTGATAAGCCTTTCCGTGTGTTGATGCACAAATCCAAACATGAATATATCTCTCTCATACCAACCTATCAGTTGGTAATCTCAAGATTCTTTCCTTATGCAACATTTTCTTTGTTTGCTTTGCTTTGTTGGTAGGAGACATACACAGAGATAGCTGGAATGCAGAGGTTTGGGGCTTTCTACATGGATTATTTGTACACAATGGAAAGCACCAGTGGCAAAGGTACCTTTTTTCTTTGTTTACCCTGTTAAATAATAGAAACAAAGACTTTTCATGCTCAGTTGGTCCTTGACCAGCTGTCCTTTAACTTACCTTAGATTTACCATCAGGTTCATCGTTAAAATGGTTTCAACTTCATTGATGTGTTTTTGATTAGCTGTTGATTGTTCTTAAATTTCCCCCCCCCTTCCACACACACATAGTTAATCACAATGATATCTTTTATAGTCAGTTGCTAAATTGAAAATAGTTCTTTTGTAGCAGTGGTGAAGTTAATAAAGTAAAATTAAAAAAAAACCCCACAAAGTCATTATTGACTTTGGGGGAAAAAAATATTTTTTTGAGAAACCCCGATTGAAGAATGAAGTTGATCATCCACTTGATGCAGAAGATGAAAAGGATTGCTATTTTCTCCTATGAAGAAAAATGCAAGCATGAGAGATAGTGTGGAGAATTAATCTTTAAATATACTTATCTGAAATATTTTTGAGCAAATATTAGCCTAAACCATACACACATAGATGTTGTTGTTTTAAGTAATTTTTGACATTCCTATCGATTCTTTTCTAAATTTGAGACAATACAGTGAATTCAGTGCAGTAAGTGTGTCTACTTTTGTGTCACAAAAGCCAGGACAAAGGTGCTAACATATCAGCAAGTAGTATTTATATATTTTTATACATATGTTTCTATTATCAATTACAATGTGACTTCCCCCCACCCCTGGGAAGATTGTCATCTACAGCTACTGCTCATTGATTTAATTGCCTAAATAATGCTTTCTTCCCCACCTGTGTATTTATTATGAACACTATTTCTATGGACATCTGTTGGGAACTTCTTGCTATTCTGTGACTGAATGTTTATCTGTCCTTACTACCTAGTCCAAGTCATCTGGGGTTTTTTTGCATAGTTTTGTCTCTATGTAAGAGAAGTTTTGACTTGTAATGTTTTTGTTTCCTGGACTTGTTGGACATCAAGTATAAAAGGAATAGGAAAGAAAAACTTCCAGTTTGGTTAGCGGATAGCTCACACAAAGCTTATAAAAAGAAACAAATTATGCCATTACCTAGTGTGTATCTCTACTATTGAAGGCAATTTAACAGTTCTTTCCTGGCTCTGAGTCTTTCAGCTCTGTGCAGCATGAGTGTGATGAGAAGCTGAGAAAATGTACATTAAATCAAGCTTCTCCTACAGTCTACTTCTGTCTTTTATTAAAGAAATAACTGTTTAATTGCATGCAGAACTTTTATGTAGAGAAGTAGAAGACCTAGGGTAAGCCTTATCTCCTTTTTGATTTTTTTGGTATAAAAATTTGAATATGCACAGAGTATTTGATTATGAGGAAAAAATGATTTTGTGGAGTATTTGGTCTTGCTGCTCTGAATGCACAAGGAGTGTAATGGCATATCTTTTTCTGACTGTAACTCAGAAACACTTTTTTTCCTCCAAGCCAGACTACTTTTATTTTCTGACTACCTTTTCCCCTCCTCAGCTTCTCTTCTGTTTCTTTAAGTTTGCTTTCTCATCGCCTTAGCTTTTTTCCTGCATCAGTCACCGGGAAAACACCTCACAAAACGTAACTTGGCTTCCTGTCAAGCCAAGTATTACTCCTAATTTCCACTACTTGACTACATAAAATAATGGAGTCATTAATTTTTAAATTAGTGGTGTAACTGGTTATCATAGCTCTAGAATCAAGAACTTGAAGCTTTAAATTTTCAAATAGTTTTTTTCCTCAGAAAAGCTAATGTGACACTTTTTGGAAGCTATTTTCAAGCTAATTTTTCCATATTGTGAGTTAAGTATGTAATTAGCAAATAGAACCTGTACAAATAGGTGTAAATTATTTCACTTAAAATGAAGGTATAAATACCTCAAGATTTTGAAAAAAATGTAAATCTTGCTACATTTTTAGTGTGTGGTGTTTATATGAAAGTATTTATGTAAAGGTTTTTATTTTACTATTTCTTGTTTTGACATCAGTTATGTTTTTAGTAGCAGTCAGTGCACACTAACTGCCTCTAAAAAATCTAACATAACTAAGTTATAGGAGGCAGTTACTGTGATTGTAAGATTTTTATCTGTCAAGGCAATTTTGGTTTGACACCTTCTTTGCCCCTTTAACCTTTCCTGAAGCATACGATTACTGATTAAACCGCAAGTGTCTCATGGATAACATTAACCACAGGCGTTTCATCTGTCACTTACAGAAGTGTATTAATCACTTTTAGCATTTTGAGTGAAAACAAGATAGATAGCCATGCACAGCAGTCTTATTTTGAAATTCTGCCTGTCTTTCCCTTCCAACTTTTATTTTTCTATTTTTTTTGTTTTGTTTATCAATACAAAATAGTAATTTCCCTGAAACACTGTGTAGCTTATCAGTTCCCTGATCACTGAGTTGCATGAGCTACAGCCGTAACAGGGTGTACTTTTGATGTTATGTTTTGATTATAATGTATGCCCATCTATTTTGGTGGCAAGTTTATTATGCAGCACCCTCATTTTAAGATTTCTTTGTCAATTGGAAATAGACATATGGTTTACAGAGAGCTGAACAATCAGTAATTGGAAATTATTTTCCTTTATGCATCTGCAAAGTTTCAAAAGTAACCTGTGATCACCTGCTTCTGTAGAACCAATAGGTTTTCTATCACATTCCTTTGCACTTAGTTGGAATTAAATGGAACTGTTCCAGAAAGTGGTTTGTATAAATGCTGTCACTTTTATATATTATTCATATATGTACAATATACGGAAATGAGTTTGGGTTGTTTTTTTTCTTTTTGAAAAGATAGGCTGTTATTACTTTTAAAGGCTTTGGCCTTGATATTTTTTATGTGAGGTTATGTTTTTTTTACACTTAGTGTTCCTCTGAACTGGATACTGTGTGGAATTGGAAGGACAAAAATGCACATTAACTGCATATTAAATAAAGCATATCCTGACAGCTGGCTGTATGCTGAATTTTGGAAAAAAAGTATTTACTAAATAGGTTGTAACTTCAGTTCCAGCTGAAGATTTGAATAGGTTATATAAGGTAGTGTCTTCGTCTTTTTTTTTTTTTTTTTTTTTTTTTCCCCCCCTCAGGAATGGCAAACAAACAGCAAGGGAAGCAGACACTATAAATGCTTTCACCATTGGCTTCTGTTGGTCTTTTGGGGAAAAAGTTAATTCTTCTGATTCTTTTGCTGAGTATATAGGCCTGGAAAGGCCTACAGAGCATTAGGCCAGCCCTGTGTCAAATACAGCACAGTCTCAGTTTATTCAGGGACCTTTTCCTCACCAGTGCTTAGAATCAAGAACATTTTATAAAGTATGATTTAAACACAAGGGGAAAATCCCCTATCTATCCTTCCTTCTTGAAGCTCACTGCCCCCATTAAAAAACTGTTTCGAATGAGTAAAGTAAAGGAGAGAGAGAACAGGGAGTGTTCCCCTGGAGGGTAAAAGACAACTAGGTTCTTCTTGGGCAACCAGAAATAAAACATACTTTTATGTAGTTGGTTAAAGAGTAAGATTTGCCTTGGAGTTATGAAGTACACTGTACCAGGCTGCTTAACCACAAAGCCGCAGCTACTCAGAAGTTGACAGATCTTACATCTCTTTGACAAAGTGGATAGGTCAATTGTCTGCAGCCACTACAGCTTTCACTGCCAAGTCTGATGAGCTGACTTTGTCTTGCCATTTATGTTAAAATGGAAAGATTGTGTCAGGGAGGAAGATGGTATAATGAGAACTTGGAATTCAGATTTTCCTGCGATTTTGGGTCCTAATTCTCTACAGGTGTGTTTAATTTGTAACTGTAACAGAAAGGCAGGATGTTATTAGATTTATGCATGGAAGTAGGTTGATTTGCATCTGGGCAGATGAGTGAAAAGAGGAACGGATGTGCTCTATCTTGCATTGGGTAGATGTACAAGATCTGCATTGGATACGAGCTTGGAAATCACTAAAAAAGTTTTACTGTTGAGAAGAATCATAATGGAAGAAGTCAGTCCACTGCATACACAGACTTTGGTTTCTGTGGTATGACTTGATTGTGAGTACAATTAGAACATATCAAATGAACAACTCTGCAATTGCAGATGGGTTACATTGTGGAAACCAAGTGAAATTGATGGCAATGGCTGTGCATTTCCTGGTTTTCCTATTTGTCACAGCTTTGACCAGGCAAATTATGGAGTACTGTGCTATCTAAGGAGTATGCATTATCCAGATTCACTGAATGAATTAAACTGTCATCCTACAATTTTATCTCAGAAGTCTTTTATTTTTATAGATTACATGGTCTCAGAATCCTTTTAATCTTGATGCTTTTTTGTGAGACTGTTCATTTGTGTAATGGTTAACAAGACATTTAATGTTTAGTGCTTGTGTCAAAGCAATGGAAACACTGTCAAAGTGATGACTTATTAAAAAAAAAAAAGAGTGAAATCTGCAAAGTAAATATGTTGAAGGGTTAAAGCCTCTGAAATTTGCATAATTTAACTGAAGAATTTCCATGAAGTATGTTTAGAGAAATGTATTCACACTGTTTGATAGCTGATGAGTAGCCTGTGTGCAGTGAATGTGTGATTTCAGTCTACCTCATTACCCTACATCTATATCAGAAAAATTATAACTGTACTTTAGTTGATAAACTGGTTGCCATTCTGAAACCATCCTTTTATCTCTGTGGTGGTCCTTCTAAAAATGGTCGGAGACTTAATGATTAAAGTTTTCATTCTTGCTGCCCATGCTTTACCTCATCAGTGAATGGAAGGAAGGGTCAGTCTGGTTTATGACAATACAGATAAGTGTGATTCTCATTGCTGTCCTAGCTCGTGTAGTGGCAGCTAGCACTTCAAGGGCCTGTATCTGTAGTTTCTTTGCAGCACGCCTTTTCCTTGATTGTTTAGGATGGACATCTTTGATAAACTGTAGAAAGTTTTGAACAGCATGGCTGTCATTGGCACCTGGGGTTAAGTTACCACAGAAATTTGGAGATAGTTTGGACATCTTCAGAGAGTCCCAAGCTCAAGAGATAAAGTTAATGGAAGGGTTTCTAAGTTGTGCTGTTCTTGGAGGCAAGGCAGACTCTTATCCTGTTTGCTCTGCATTAAACAGAAATAATATTTGTTTAAGCATGTTAAACCAGTCACAGTATATTTATGTGTTCATTTTGCAATGTTGTATTTTCTGTGTATTTATAATTCTGTGATCATAACATTTGAAAGAAAAGTAGCTGATAAATTTTATTATGTACAGTTTGGTGTAATTTGTTGTTATTTTTAAAACTTATTGTAGTTTCAGGGAATCAGCAAGACCTGTCTTCAGTAAAGAGTGAAGATCTGGGAAATGTTCAGGAGATGTCTACAAAAAGCCTCATTGTGGGCCCACTCAACCTTCGATTGGATAGCAGTGCGGTACACCGGATAATGAAAATGATAGTTTGTGCTCTGGAGCATGAATATGAGCCATACAGCAGAACTAAGTCAGGTTTGCTCCTTTTGCATATATGCAAATATACAGAATTCAACCAGATCAAATTCAGTGTTCTTGAAGGTGCAACTTCCAAATAGTTAAATAAATAGTTGGAGTCCCAAGAGCAAATTTTAAAATAAAGATAAGATGAATCACAGTATCCCCAGCAGTGTTGAATATGCCTCTGAGATAATTTCAGACACTTCGGAAGCCATTTGTTTCAATCACAACCCTGTTGTTAAGGAGGGCTTATTTCATTGACAACTCTAGCTTAATTTTGGAATCTTAGAGAAGAAAGTATCGTTGTTGGTATGTATTTATTAGTTTGAAATAATAGTTATACAGGATAAAAATGCATGAAAAGAAACTGTGATAAATGGTTGAGTTTCTGAGAGTGATACAGATTTCAAAGTAGGAAAATCTGTTTACAATGGCATTTAGCCTCAGGTAGAACCAGTGTGGAATTAAAATTATTAACTATGAAGGGGGAGGGCAAAATGCTTTCCATTTTTTGCTAGTCGCTAACCATTTTTGAAACAGTGACTGTAGGAGATGTTTTATGTATTTTAGCCAAAACATATATAATCTTGATTTATTGTAGATATTATGGATGGAAATAGAGCTGTGCCAAGCTCAGAAGAAGTAGCATTATTGGAAGAATACATTCCCACTCGACTTACAACGTTCACTGTTCTTAAGTGTACAATTATAATCCCTGTAGCAGAATTCAATTTACTAGACCACCTGATGCCCATAATCATGGGTGAGAAGGTATGTATGCACAGATTTTATTCAGTTCTTTATATCAGCATGTACTATTTAATATAAATTTTCTCACTGGTCTGTTATTCCATGTGCCAGACATATTACTGCGTTCCAAATACATTTGGGGCTCTTGAGCCTTCCCTTTGGATACCTAAGACGAGTGGTGTATGTGGTGACTAGCTAGACTTGTAAACTGAAGGTGTCATGTACTGGTAGGAAAAAATAATTGTAAGAAAAAGATTTTAAATCATCAAGCAGATTAAAAAGAAGTAGCTCCAACTTGAAGATTTTATGGAAACCTTTTAATCAGAAGAGTACCTGTTGTCACTTTGCCACGCAGGTCTTCCCAAACTTCGTCAAGTCTGAAATCTTTGAATGCATAGGCTCAGTAGAGACTTCACAGATGTTAAAAGCCAGCTCTGGATGTATTAGTTCCATCCAGGATGCCAGAAGGACTTTGGCTGTTACTGAGCATTTAACTGCTGAGTGACTAGTTTCAGAGAGTCAGAAATGAAATTTCCTAACAGCCTGAATTTGTTTTATCTTCTGCATGTATGTAGTATAACTCCAGCTAAAGAATCCTGCACTGGTTTTATTCCTACAGGACTCCTTCCTCAGTGCACAAAACTGAGGTACTGTTGGAATGAATCACTCTTTTGTAGTGAAGACTTGAAGTAGGTTTACCTGTTGCAGCAGAGGCTGGAAGGTAGTTTATGGATAAGGGAAGGGACAGGATGAAGAGGAAAAAAAAAATCAATTCTTGATTAAGTTCAATTTCTAGGAATTTTAATCTGATATAAAACACTTTAAATGTGTTTTTCACAAGTGGACACTAAATATGTTTCTTGTACTTGAGGACGAGCTTTTTTAGTGAGATATATTTTGTATAAGTTATTAGTATCTGTGGTTCCAATTAAAGCAATGAGAGCTAAGCTTTTATTTGTGAAGTACTTTGCTATGCTACATGTTAAAAAATTGGCATTCAAACTAACTTCCGGAATTAGTGAATTATTTTTGTATCAGCCTTCCTTTTTAATGATAATTTATTGTCTGAAATGGAGATGAAATTGTATATTCTGAAAATGTTGTGAAAGTAACCTTTTCAGTATTCGTGAAGCATTTATACATAAGAAAGGTGAAAACCATTTGAAAAAGTTTATTACTTCCCCCTCCTGAGAGAGCTGATATGCTCCAACCCCCTAACCACTTCGGTAACCTGCCAGCAAACTTATTCTGGTATGTCCTTGTCTTTCTTGGCACCTACACCCAAGCAAATTTTGGATAAAAGGTTTATACATAAATTTTAAACTTGAAAAAATTATTTTGAAAAGATTTGAGGATTTGTATTATAATAACCTTAAGGCTATGATGTCTGTAAACAGTTCATTACACATAGATTTGCTTGTGTTTGTGGGGAGGTAAGAATATACATCTCTAGTGTAATAATTGCATGTTTTTCCCCCCTCCTTTAGAACCCAAGTGGACTGTTAAATGCTGCAACCTTCCAGCCCCTGCGACCTTTACCTTCCATCCGAATTTTGGTGGATAAGGTTAACCTGGAGCACTCGGTACCGATGTATGCTGAGCAACTGGTGCACATGGTCAGCAGCCTCGGCCAGCCGTCTGACAACCTGCTTCATTACTGTTACTCGCACTGCTATCTGAAGGTAAAAGAAGACTTGAGATCTGTTTCTTATTGCTGTGCACTGAGAAGTTAATATGAGTATAGATGATCCTAAGTGTTAACAGGTTTCTTGGGAGGAAGTGTTCAGCTTATCTAAAAGGACGTAAACACATTTCACAGAATGTTTTTGTTTGGGATTGCTGCTTCTGACCAGAGCCAAATGTTTTGTAATGTGAACAGAGAACTTCACAAGCGGAACCGATGCAGACTGAAGCCTCAAGGTCTTTGTGGCAAGATTGAGTTAAAATAATTTGGAAAGAAATCTTTCCTCTCTTCTAGGATGATTCTCATAGAATATGTAGATCACAGTGAATTACACTTAGAAACTTGCTGGGATGTTATGAGGAAAAACCATCACTTCTATTAGTACTGGTAGAGCAAAACCATGATAATGAAGGTATGCAATCAGTAACTGTTAGGAGGCAATTTCGTGTTTTTTTGATTATAAGAGGAAAAACCTCTGAATGTTCACAGTTAAAGATCCATTATGTGAGAAGAGTTCCTATTGTGAGGTTGGGGGAAGTTTACAAAGATATTGAAAAATTGCTTTGAGATTATTCAGTTGCCAGCTGCTGAGATTTTAGTGGAATGAAAAAGTGAAATCTCAAGTGGGGTGATTGGGATGGCAATATTGCAAGTTATCTGTATGCTTTTCAGTTTGAGGGGATTTTTTTCTATTCAGAAAGTTTTTAGCAGATGTTTGATTAATGCTTCAGTTTTGATTTTTGCAGGGTTTATTTGCTAGCTTTAATATAGACCAAAGTGTTCTGTTCTTATGTGAATGGTGGTACAGCATATTAAAAAGTCAACTCTACAAACATTTGTTTTCCGTATTAAACAGGGAAAAATAATCAATAGTTGTGATGAAGCTTTCTTTAGATGCACTTATTAAGAAAGAAAGCTTTGAAGAGTAGCTTCTCATTTCCTTAAATACCATTTCTTTAGGCCAATGTTGTTATAATTACAAAAAGTGATTTTATTTGTTTTATACAAAGGGCAGTGTGCAGTCTGCAGATTTAAAGGATATAGAATAATGTATTTTAGTAGAAAAATTACAACTCAGCATTTTAAAAAAATTCAGCAGTGTAGTTAACATTTATTTTTGAGAAAAGAAAATATTTCTGTATGTATTCCTATTGAGACATTAATTTAGGCAGATTTTTCTAGTTATTTTTGTGTTCAGAGGAAAAGGGATTATCTAAAAATAATATTTGTTTCATATTTATTGAGTATACTTTAATACATGTATATTATGTTATAAAAGTAACTTAGAAGTGACCTGTTCATGTGATAATATACACTTTGACCAACTTAATTTGTTTCAGATATTTGGTTTTCAAGCAGCACTTACTTCTTTGGACAGTAAAGGATTGTACTGCTTCCCCATTCCAGTTATTCCCTCATTTAGTACTGCTGTTTATGGCAAGCTGATCAAGTTTCCGAAATATTGGTGAGCATTAAGCATGTACAGTTTATTTAAGTAATGTACTCAACTTCTTTTGTGTTTCTAATGAATGGTTTAAAAATGCCAAGCTCCTTATATATCCTTTAACTTCTATGTCTCTTCTGTCATATTCTACTATTAAGTCTGTTTTTGTAAGGATATCTGTTAATAAACATTTTAGATTCTTGTTTGGTTGAGAGAACAGGCTACACAAGCCCCATACTGAATGACTTTCTTCTAGACCTTGTAGAATTCTGTGAACCAGTTTCCATTCTTCCTTGAGTTGATTTAAAAGCTGAAGTTCTATACTTGATGGCAAGCTTGATGTCTTTAACTGAACAGGTCAGCTCTTTCTATTTTAAACTCAACTAAATAAAACCCAACAAATGGAGGGGAAAAAACCCACCAAAACACCCCTACCCCACAAAAAGATGGCCTCTACTAGACTTTTATTTTTGTTACTAGTTACAGTTGTAAGCATTTAACATTGTGACTAGGAATTAATCTGTTTGAAGTAGTTCAGATTTTAAAAACAAACACTTTTGTTCTGAAAACAATTCTGTGCTTTATAAAATGAGCT